AAACACAGACACTCACAGGAGATGGGGCATTTAGGTGGGAGTTTCTTAGGAGATGATAATATCTGTGAAGCTCCCACAGAAGTCAGATGGTGCCAAATATTAGCAGAGAGAGAATAGGAGGAGAAGAGGAGTCCAGGCCATGTTGACACTGGCTCTGATCCCCACAGTGAAGCAGGGCTGTCCCAGGCTTGTCTTATCCTCCCTACTGTCTCCAGGCAAACGAGGGTGCTGTTTATACAAATTTTTGCCCCTTCCAGAATCTCTCAGACTCCCTCTGATCAGTGATTTCCGAGAACAGAGGACAGAGGAGGCTGAGGGCAGGGCCTTCTCTGAGTGGACCTAGGAGGGGGTGGAGGGAGCAGCAGTGGGAACCCCCAAAGGACCCTGCCCAGGAGCCTCTGCCAGGCCTTGAGGGCACCCAGCTGCTGGGTCTCACTAGGGGGCACAAGGGGCAGCAGAGCCTCTACCCAGCCCTCAGGTCAGGGGGGCCCCCTCAGCTGGGAGGGTCCTCCTGCACGGTCCAAGGGGATGCAGGTTACCTGTCCCTCTCAGGGTCCTCAATGGCCTGAGTTTATTTTTTTATTTTTTTTAATGGCCTGAGTTTAACATTCAGAGCTGTGTCACCAGCTCTCAGCAGTGACATGAAGGACTGTGTGAAGCACAGTCTGATGGGGTCTGATGTAAATAAAGAACATGGATACACTGTCTTGATTGAAGAGCTTCCCACATGGAGGGAAAAGTCATCCAGCTATAATCACTCCTGAGAGTGTGGGAATGTCTACAAAACATAAATCATGCAAAAGACTGAGCCTATGCTGCCCCGGGGACATTTAGGGAGTTCCTCAGTGAAGGGCCTTTCAGGTTCATCTGAAGAGTGAAGTGACCGCATTCTGCACAAAGAGTTATAGAAGAAAAAATTAAAACAGGTTATGAAGATCTTCAAACGAAGATGAGAGTCAGTGACTTCACAGGAGCAAGACCACCTGGTGATGATGGGTCAGGGTAACGGGAGGGTGGACAGAACAGGGCAGGACTGAACAAGCTCTGTGGTCGGGGCAGAGCAACTGGGGAAGGAACATAGCAGGTGGCGATGCAGGGGGCTGTGCTCCCAGGATCCCCTCAGGCCTGTGCAGGAGGAGGAAGGGGGAGAGAAGGGACAAGATGATGTTGAGATCAGGGGTCTCTGCTTTGATGGGCCCTACAGAGGGTGCTGCTGTCACTGCAGGGGAGCCTCAGGTAGGGAGAGTTTTCTCTGTGCATGAAGGAGTAGAAGATCTGGGAAAGGAGCACAAACACTGATTTTTGCTCCTTTGCACCTCTCAAGGTGCCTTGAGAGGCAGGAGCAGTGCCCCTGGCTCTAGGCTGGTGTGCAGGCCTGGTAAGAAGACCCTGAGGTGAGTGTGGCTGTGTAGGGGGGACAGGAGCCTGAGACTGGCCCTGAGCTCCCTCCCCAGGTGCAGGATGGGGGACAGGAGTCCTGCAAGCTCCTTCCCTCATTCCAGGCTGGCTCCCGGGGCTTCCCTGAAGCATCCCTGCAGTGTCTGGGGTAGTGGGGCTTCCCATCTGCTATGGGTCCTCAGGGGTGAACCAGGTGTCTGATGAGGTGAGACGTGCCCCTCATTGTCTCCACAATGGCAATGTTCCACATAGGGCGGAGGACAGTGAGCACGTGTTAGGGGAGATGTTTGCAAACCTTCCCACCCCAGGGGGAGGAGAAGTCATGGAGGAACATGAGCTGAATGTCCAGGGTCTGGCTGCAGTGCCTGGGACATCAGATGTCATGAAGAAGTGAGAATGGAGAAGAACCCTAAACTTTACACCCTCCTGCACACCCCCAGAATCACAGCCACAGGGAGGCAAATCTGGGGATCTCTCTCATCACTTCATCCCCCTTGGGGAGGAGCACTGCATTCTGGTCACTGCTCCCCACTGCCAATCCGGCTTCCTGATGTCTGTCATGGGAAAGGCCTGGGAGGACCCCCTAAGGTCTGGGAGCCGGGGGCTGACAGCAGGTGGACCCTGGACCTAGACACACACAGGGGCTGCCTTCCTAGCTGCAAGGATCCCACGGACCCCAGGAACAGGCTACAAGTCCCCTGCAACCCCAGCCCTGATCCACCCTGAATGAGATGAGTTGAGCCCAGAGCAGAGCTCCATTGCCTCCAGTGCTCTGGGTCCCCTACCCATTGTGCGTGGAGGACAGGCCATACCAAGGACAAACTCAGCCTTCCTGAGGCTGCACCTCATGGCGCCAAATGGTTCAGAATCTTCTGCTGTGGCTCCTCTCAAGGGACTGTTTCCAAGTGTCCCCACTCTCCCGCTTCTTCTCTAAGATTAGAGTGAGGCTTGGGATCAGCACGTCCCCAGGGAAGGAAGCAGATAGACAAAGACATGAGATATGCTGCCCCCATGGACTCCAGTGTGGGGCCCAGAAGCCTGGTCTCTGCATCTATCACTATCTCTGCCCCCCGCTCCTTCCTCTGTCAGCTGAGCCTCTGTCCACACTCCTGGTGGGGAGGCCACAGGCTCGCTCTGTCTCTATGATGACCTCTGTTTGTGGCCCCAAGTGTGTTCTATAATTTAAGGTTTATATTAATCGACCCTTAATTTTCAAAGTTTCCTGTGTTGCAGCTGAAGGACCTCTGCAGTCGTCACCAGAACCACAAGAGCAGGTTGGACCTTGACATTGGTTATGGAGAGGCCGAGACCCTTACAACATAGGACCTTCTGTTCCTGAAGGGACAACAGTGGCTCCCACCATCTGTGACATTAGAGGTCATGGTCCAATTCCATTAAAGTCTCTGACACATCACAAATACTGACCCCTCTGCCCAGGGGGCACACGCTGTCGTCTGGACTAAGGGGCTCATGGGCAGTTTCGTTGCTCCCTTTTCAAACTGTTCAATCTTCCTCAGGTCCCCTCCTTCCAAACATCCCCCTTCAGGGACATGGGGTCACACCTCCTTGGAGCCGTGGATGGGATGATGTCACACTGTGACCCGTCACAGACCCCAGACTCCTAGATGACGTTCTTTGCCTGCATGAAGGTGCTGTCACTCTAGAGTACAGTTTACTGGGCTGTGACAACAGAGAAGTGTGGTGTCGCCACTGCCACAGTGCAGTGTAGGAGAGTGATGTCACCACAAATAAAGTCACCTTACACACTCACCCTCCTCCTTCCTCCACCTGCTGTCAACCACTGGCCTCCTTACCATCTCTAGATTCCAGCCTCTTCCAAATTAAAATGAAATTCCAGTGGAATGTAGCCTGTTACATGTTCTTCTTCCCTAAGAAATATGCAGGTAATACTGATGCATATTTTTGAACTTCACAACATATTTCCTTTAAATGTTGATTAATATCACCCTCTACAAAATACATAATGATGAAGGACATTTTTCTTACCTCAAGTCTGGTCATTTTATAAAAAGCTGGTATAAAAAACAGTGTGCAGATTTTTTATTGCTTTTAGCTGTGGTGAATATGAAAAAAGTTTACACAGTCAACAAAACTAAAAGACAACCTACAGAATGGGAGAAGATATTTGCAAATAACCTATCAGATAAAGGGCTAGTTTCCAAGATCTATAAAGAACTTCTTAAACTCAGCACCAAGGAAACAACCAATCCAATCATGAAATGGGCAAAAGACATGAAGAGAAATCTCACAGAGGAAGACACAGACATGGCCAACAAGCACATGAGAAAATGCTCTGCATCACTTGCCATCAGGGAAATACAAATCAAAACCACAATGAGATACCACCTCACACCAGTGAGAATGGGGAAAATTAACAAGGCAGGAAACAACAAATGTTGGAGAGGATGCGGAGAAAAGGGAACCCTCTTACACTGTTGGTGGGAATGTGAACTGGTGCAGCCACTCTGGAAAACTGTGTGGAGGTTCCTCAAAGAGTTAAAAATAGACCTGCCCTACGACCCAGCAATTGCACTGCTGGGGATTTACCCCAAATATACAGATGCAATGAAACGCCGGGACACCTGCACCCCGATGTTTCTAGCAGCAATATCCACAATAGCCAAACTGTGGAAGGAGCCTCGGTGTCCATCGAAAGATGAATGGATAAAGAATTTGTGGTTTATGTATACAATGGAATATTCCTCAGCCGTTAGAAATGACAAATACCCACCATTTGCTTTGACGTGGATGGAACTGGAGGGTATTATGCTGAGTGAAGTAAGTCAATCGGAGAAGGACAAACATATGGTCTCATTCATTTGGGGAATATAAATAATAGTCGAAGGGAATAAAGGGGAAAGGAGAAAAAATGAGTGGGAAATATCAGAGAGGGAGACAGAACACGAGAGACTCCTAACTCTGAGAAATGAACTAAGGCTGGTGGAAGGGGAGGTGGGCAGAGGTGGGGGTGACTCGGTGACGGGAACTGAGGGGGGCACTTGATGGGATGAGCACTGAGTGTTATTCTATATGTTGGCAAATTGAACACCAATAAAAAATAAATTTATTAAAAAATGAAAAAATTTCCATAAACAAGCACATCTGGATTTTTCTCTAGAAAGCTATTTTTTTTACCTTTTATAATTTTTAGTGTATCATTAATTTATGAGTTCCCTGCAAACATCTAATAATGAGAACTAGACATCTGGTTGAAGCTAAGGGAATAATGATCCCACATGTAAAAAGAGCTGACATGTACATCAGCAGAGCAGGGACGGGGCTGAAGGACCATGATAACTTCATGACTTATGAGTGTTTCATTTACTGAAAAATCAGAAGATGATAAGTGAATGTTTACTAGGCTCGAGGAAACTGTCGCAGCTTATGAGGAAAAAACTTCCTGTATCCTTTGAGACTCATTGTATACAAATGGGGCTAATCTGAGTGACTCTGAGGTCACAGATGATGAGCAGGTGCCATTCCCAGGAGGGTCACAAAGATGCACTCGGAATCAGGGCATCGAATGAAGAACCAGCAGAAACCCAGCGGGAGCCTAAGCAGGCAGCTGCTGGGGCGCTCACTCACTTTGCAGACCGGTAAGTGGGTTTTTGTCTCACTTCCCCACAGGCCTGGAGCACCGTGTGACCTCTGAGACTATCATCCCATGATGAGCAGTAATACTCAGCCTCGTCCTCAGCCTGAAGCCCAGAGATGGTCAGGGTGGCTGTGCTGCCTGACTTGGAGCCAGAGAATCGATCGGGGACCCCTGAGGGTCGGCTACTATCATAGTAGATGACGGTTCTGGGGCCTATTCCTGGGAGCTGTTGGTACCAGCCCACATAATTACCACCGATGTTGGAGCTGCTTCCAGTGCAGGAGATGGTGACCCTCTGGCCCAGGGACCCGGACACTGAGGCCGGCTGAGTCAGCACAGACTGGGCCCAGGACCCTGCAAGAGGCAGAGACATAGAGTGTAATGATGGGGTCTGGAGACAAGAGGAGGGAACAAAATGCCACAAGTACACCGAGGTCCCCTCCCCCTGTCCCAAATCCAGTCACCTGTGCAGTGAGCAAGGAGGCTGAGGAGGAGAGGGGACCAGGCCATGGTGAAGATCATCACTGATCCTGTCTTCTGTGGCACCACAGCTGAGCAGAGCCTCCCCTCCTCTCTCCCTTCTCCTCTTCATCCTCTGAGAGAGGGAGGGGCCGTCCATGCAAATGAGACCCCAGTTCTCTGCCCCTCCCTGGCCCTGGGTCAGGTCCCTCTGCCTGAGGATGTCAGGGGGGTGGGCAGGGGAGGGTCTGCTTGGGGCTGGGGTGTGATTAGGGAAGTCCCACCTGTGAGCCCTGAGCAGAGGCCACAGTCAGTGCCAGGTGGTGTTCCCAGCCCTGATCCAGCCTAAGCCCTAAGAAATAAGCCTCAACTGCCTTCTGGCATCCTGACGCCACCTCATTCTGCATGACATAGGGATCAGTTGGCCTTAGGAGCTGTCTTCAGAGCTCTTGCCACTCTCCTCCTATGATCGGGATTATGTGTCCCCTCACATGGTCTCCTATCATTGCAGCATAGATTTTAGGCTTCACTCTAATTTCTTGGTGCGAGGGACATCTGGGTTGCTCAGTGGTTAAGCGTCTGTCTTTGTCTCAGGGCATGATCTTGGAGTCCTGGGATCAAGCCCCCCATCCGGCTCTGTGCAGGGAGCCTGTTTCTCCCTCTATCTATGTCTCTGCCTCTCTCTCTCTGTGTCTCTGCCACGGATCCCTTTTTAAATCTTATGATTATATCATGGGTCTGATTATGCAGGTAGGAAAGCCTGAAGTGGTGCCCATGAGCCCCGAGGAGGACTCTGTTGTATGAACTTCAGAACCATCTGAGTGCTGGAATTCCCATACACAGATGAGCTTCCAGGATGAGAAATTAAGAGTCATACGCCTATCTGGGGTGTGCACGGCTGGGGCCCAGGCACCTGTGTCCAGCATGTTCAGGAGAGAGCAATTGCTCATTCAGCCATCCAGGAGTAGAAGAATGAAGTTCTTTTGGTAAAAGCCACCTGGACCCAGAGTTGTTGTCAAAAATCTCCTGTGAGTGGTGGAGAGTGGATATGAGGGGACCATGTCCCTGAGGTCACAGACCCTGTGGTCCTGACTTGGATCAGATGATTTAGCAGAGGTCCAGCCTGGTTGGAGGTGTCCCTGGTGAGACTGGGATTGACAGCCCAGCCCTGAGAGCACAGGGAGGGTGAGTCCCACATCACTGGGGGCCTTGACCTCTGGTGGATCAGCACTGAGGCTGGGGTCTCAGAATCAATGTCCTAATCAGCCTCAAGTGCTGATTGAAGCCCAGAAAAATGTGGAGGGCTGAGCTGCCTAAGGGGACAGAGACTCACCCTGGGAATCCTGAGGATCAGCTTTGTCCCAAACAACAGGTATTCAAAGCATATCCTGGCTGTCCAGGTGATACCACCTCAGTCACTCGTGTTCACTCCTACTAGGGATTTTGCCTTCTGGAGACTGTGACACCAAGGACAGCTGGTGAGCACAGATTAGCCTAACTTTTGGACGGATGGAGAAGCCCCAAAACTGCAGAGCCCAGGACAGTATACAACCAGAGATGATACAGCTGTGAGTGTGAGAGTGTGTTTTTGTGCGTGCATGTTTGTGCACGTGTGACCTAAAATTAGGCCAAGTGGCCTTCAGTCCCTTTTAAGACTTCTCCACACACGGGGGATTGCCCTTTATTTCAGGTCCTGGAGCTGGGATTTCAAGGCCCGTGTCTCAAGCCCTTCTACCTGGGGGAGGATTGATCCAGGCAGTGAGGACTCATATGAGAGCGGCCCTGTAACAACATCCCTGAATCAGACGTGCAGGTGCTGCCCAGTGACAGAAACAGGAAGGAGGATGTAGGGTTTCACATGCAATCCTAATTTCTGGTCATTCTCCTCCCCATAGATGGACCCTGGGGAATGGAAACTACAGCAAAATCATTTCTGGTTTTCTCTGAAATCCTGAGGTGGAGACGGAGCTCAGACCTCAAGAACTAGAGGGAAAGACAAGCCTGAGGGACAGGGGAGCAGAGGGGAGAAGAGGAGGGAGGGGGTGGGGGTGTTGTCAGGGAGAGTCTGCAGGATCTGGTCCAAATTCACGTGTTTCTGGTTCAGAGAGAGGAGACTGTCTGTGACCAGGGTTATAGACAGTGTATCAGCTGTGGGTACATCGGGAGTGACAAAGGTCACACTTTATGGAATGAGATGATAGAACTGACTGCGGATGAATATTTGCTGGGTGGCAGGTTCAGTTGCAGAGAGAGTATCTATCCCTGTCCATCTTCTCCAGCCCCCAAGGGGGTGTGCAGTTGGGCTCTGGTCTCTCATCTCTTCCTGTCTTCCTTGGATGACCTATGAGGTGTCACTTTGCAGGCATATCCTTAGTATTTATCTTTCATCTTTTGAATCTAGACCTTCTGGGCACCTGCATGCCTCAGTCGTTGAACATCTATCTTCAGCTCAGGTTCTGATATCGGGTTCACGGATGGAGTACTGCATCAGGTTCCCTGCAGGGAGCCTGCTTCTCCCTCTGCTTATGTCTCTTTCTCTCTCTGTATCTCTCATGAATAAATAAATAAATACAATTTTTTAAAAAAGAAAGAATCCAGACCTTCCTACATATATGTACCCCTTGCATGAGTCTCCAGGTAAGTTTCTCTGAAAAGTAGTTCAATACAAGGTCTGTGGTTCCAGGGGTCTTTGTCTCGCATCCTCCTTATCTGAGACGCTGTGAGTATCGGGAGCTGCTCCCACTGCCATGGTCTGTAGCACAGTGACAGTCAGCCTCGTCCTCAGGCTGCAACCTAGAGATGAGCAGGATCCCTGCATTGGCCGAGGTGTCCTTGGAGCCAGAGAAGCAGCTGGGGCCACCGGGGCCCTGGTGAGTCTCAGTAGACCGTCAGCAGGTACTCAGGAGGCCTCCTGGCTGCTGGAACCAGCGTATGGCCACCGCTGCAGCCACTGCTCAGGGTGCAGGTGAGTCTGGCTGTTGTTCCCAGGGATGCAGAGAGGGAGGGCGGCTGGGTCAGCACAGGCTGGGACAGGGAACCTGCAGACACACACACGTCACAATGAAGACAAGAAACAGGGTAATTGTGATTGAGGAGCGGAGCCACCTGGATATGACTTAGGCTGGGGTCCCCCTCTCTTGCACTGTGGCCTGTCCCTACCTGTGAAGGGACAGAGGAGCATGAGTAGTACAGGGGTCCAGGCCATGGTGATGCAGCCATTTCTTAGCCCACAGAGCTGGGGCTGGGCTGCCCCTGGCCTGTCTTATCACCTGTCCCAGGGCTTCACAGTGGAGGGGCTGCTCATACAAATGTGACCACCCCTGACTCTCCCTCCTGTTCACTTACAGGTCTGTGGCCCTGTGACAGGGAGGATTCCTGATGGACTAGCTTCCCCCTGGTGTGCCTGGAGGAAGCACCTGCTGGGGCCCACAAGCAGATCCAGGCCCACAAACAGATCCAGGTACCCATCCCAGTTCACAGAGGACATGCCTATTTTAGTTCATATAAAAGTAAAGTACCCAGCACCAGTAAAGTACCCAGCACCAGGGATTGCATAACTGGGAGACCCTATCCTGTAGAAAGCCTCAGACTCCATCTCACTTCACCCCCTGCTGGTCTCTGGGCAAATCTCTCCTTTCCCACCTTAGGCAAGCCTCCTCTTTCCCTGCTTCTTTGAATCCTGTGCTCTCAGCATGTGAAAGTGACCCTCCAGCAATGGATAGAGGTCCTGGGATGCCCTCTCTGATCAGGATTCCTACACAGACTGGGTTCTAGCAGGAGGGATCTCTGCAGTCCTCCTCCAGGAGAACCAGGAACTGCTGTGGAGCTGAGGACCAGACACAGGGAACACAGAGCAGAGGGTCTCTGTCCCTGCAGGAGGGCCTCAGGGGAGGCAGGTTGGCTTCACATGCTAAGTGTGAGCAGCAGCTTGTGGGGGGACACATATCTTCACCTAGGGGACACAGAGGTGGGAATGCCAGGCACTTCCTGAGCAGGGTTGACAGGAAAGCTGGAGATCATAAGGTGACGGAAGGAACAAGGTGATGACCAAACACACAACGATGATGGGAACCAAGTAGTGAAAATGCTTACCCCACCCCTGCATCTTTTCTATTCATGGCTCCATGTGCTGAGTGTGAGGAGGAGCTGGTGGTGTGGGGGGACACATATCTTCACAGAGGAGGACACAGAGGGTGGGAATGCCGGGCACTTCCGGAGCACGGTTGACAGGAGACAGAAAAGTCTGATGAAGCTGCCAGGGTTCTGGGGACAGAGCAGGGCCTAGGCATCAAGCAGGTACCAGTGCAGGGCCATCCTGTGACCTCCTTCCCCTCCATTTACTGTGAGATTTTTCAGCCCAGCTGTGCCTGTCCTCAGGGGTGCTCATCAGAGAATTAGCTTCAGTGGACATCCTAGTACAGAATGTGGGACAGAGAGATCTAGAAGGGTCATTAGGAGGAGCGAGGGGCTGGAAGATCGTGACAGCCAAGGCAATGGGGAAGGGTGCAGGGGATTGCGTCCCCAGGTGGGACAGTGGGAGGTGACTGACTGGACTCCAGCCTGTGGGAGAGGAAGGGATGGTCCAGAGTGTCAGGTGGATGGAGGACGATGCCCACAGAGTCAGGAATACCTGGAGAGACACAGGTGAGGTCAATTGGGAAAGCAGGTGGAGGACTGGTGGTGGGTCTATTGTTCCTATGTCACCTAAAGACCATATATGATTTGTGCAAGGTGTAGAGACATTCACAGACAACCAGGGCTGAGGGAAGCCTTCCCTCCCCCAAGGGAAGGATGTGAGTGCTACATTAACCACAAGCCTGAGGGCTTAGTCTGAGGGGTCCTGAAAGGAAAGCTGGAGGCCATAAGGTGACAGAAGGAACGGGGTGATGACCAAACACACAACGATGAAGGGAACCAAGTAGTTCAAATGCTTCCCCCACCCCTGCATCTTTTCTATTCATCCCTGAAGGGAATCCCTGGTCGATGAGGGAGGAGGGGAGGAGAGGACAGGACAGAGAAGCCCAGGGCTCTGCTGGCTGAGGCTACACGGTTGGCATTCCCAT